TAAATAATTTTCCTTTTATTTTAAGTGACAAAGATTTTTCAGAAATAAATTCAGCAAAAACAGTTTGGTCTGAAGCCCGTGTGCAGTTATGCATGTGGCATGTATGACATGCTATCAAACAATGATTAGCATCAAATAAAATAAACGTATACTATTCTTATAATCCCAGAATTGCGCATGAGAAATGTTCTGTAATAGATTCTAATTGGGGACTTGTAGATAATTCTACTTCACAATATTTTGCCTCTTAAATTTGCGTAAAACAGTAATTGAACTTATAGAAGATCATTCAAGCAGACACATGTTATTACCAAAATCTGATGGTAGTTTTATTGTAGATGCAAATAAAATTTGGAAAGAATGTGTGAGTGAAATCTTTCAGTTTTGCAAATCTAATGATTTACTTCGGCTATGGACGTATCTCTGGAAAGAATGGTATTCAAAAAACAAATGGATTTTATAAGCACGATCATCTAATGAATATATTTGTCATATTAAAACCACTATGATCATCGAATCACATTGGCGTCACATTAAATGAGATCATTTATATAAATTTCACAAACCTAGAATCGATCATCTCTGTTACATTCTTATCAAAAAAGTTCTTACTCAACAATTATATCGAGTTCAACTGCTTCAACAAGGTTGATATTCAGTACCATGGCGAAAAGAGTTTAAGAAAGAGTGGAAACAACATGAAAAGCAAAAAACTCAATCAAATAATAAATATTTCACTGATTCTGCCAAGTGGATATGTGCATGCCCTGCATATCGTCTTAGTCGATTTTTTTTGTGCAAGCATTTAATTAATTCCGTTGAAAAAGTTGATTTAATGTTCTTCAAAAAAGCAAGCTATAATTTATTTAATGTTTAATATGCATTATAAATTAATATAATTTTTTTATATTGCAGGTACAACGAAATAGCTATTATCCTTTAATCTCAACATACAAAGGCAAATTAGTGAATATATTCGACTTGGAAAATCTTCAAAATTCTCAAAATTATCAAATTTCAAGTGTTTTATTC